AACAAAACAAATTCCTTCATATCTGTATTATATGTTTTAATATTCTTTTTAATATTTTTTTGTGTGAGGCAGGCATTTGAAGATGAGTCCACCCAATTAAGCTCCTCCTGAGCTAGCTATATCCTTTGCTGCTGTTTCTGTGTGTGTTTTATACAATACAATTGTATATGTAGAACCACCTCTTTGTTTTTGTTTTTTGTTTTTATCTTTCATTTTTTATTTCCTTGAAAGAGAAAACTAAAGTAAATTAATTTAATTGATGAATACTAAACCTCTGTCTCTTTGTGGGACTCAATCTCAAAAACCCCAACTCCAAATCAACCCCATCGTCCCATGTGGGCCCACCACGGCTCTCGGGCCCCGGACCTTGGGATATGTCGACTCCAAACAGCCTCACCGCTCCCGATCCCGACCCTGACCCCCCCTCACTCTTCCTCCACTCAATGTACATTTGCCCCTCGGGCCCCGCTGACTTCTGGAAGGAGACAACGTCCCCAGCCCGCAGGTTCTTCTCCTTCACAAATCGGCTCCACCCTTTGGTCAGAACGTAGCTCTGGCTGCTGTTCCAGTAAGAGTACCTGAACCTCCACACTTTCCCCACTTCATCCTCGAAATTCAACAGAACACCCTTGGAATTGTTGTTGTCATTGTAATTTTGGAGGGGAAAGTGTTTCTCCGCGTGCTGCTTCGGGATCACCAGCCGGTTCAGCTTCCCCACGTCGCTCGGAGTCACCGCCTTCGCAAACAGGTGGTTGCGGGCGCCGCCGCCTCCGCCTCGGGGGAAGAGGAAGGCGGCGCCGCGGGACGCGTAGTGCCGGCGGCTCTGCTCTAGCTCGTCCGCGTATGTGTGCTTGCGGAGCATGTCCACCACCTCGGCCTTGGAGCGGGACACCAGAAAAGCCGCCTCCACGCGGTCGCTCAGTGCCGGCGGGCGGTAGTTTGTGACGGCGTCGCGGCCGCGGAAGCGGAGGGCCGCCGTGTCGTAGGCGCGGGCGGCGTCCTCCTCAGTGTTGAAGGTCCCCAGCCACACGCGCTGGTGCTTCTCGTAGATCTGGGCACCCCACCGCCCGTTGGGCTGCGGGACCACGCCTTTAAATCGGGACGACGGCAGCTTTCGGCCCGAATCGGCCTCCGTGCCGTTCTCCGCATCGATCACCACGCTCCCGCCGCTCCCCACGCGGCACAGCAGCGCCGGAGCCGACGGGGAGTCGCTCGTCGTGCTCTCTTCGCCGCTGTTTGCATCCATTTTTATTTCTTGCGTGTTTTAATTAATATAATCTTATTATATTTTAGTTATTGCACAGGAAATTGTCTGAAAATTATAGATGAGATTAGAAATTGGGAAAGAGATGAAAGTGGTTTAGATATTATGAAGTGGATTTTGGCGAAAGAATATATATATATATACAGGAGGCGCCCAAGTTTTTCTTGTGTGTTTGCAATATAATTAATGGGGGATTAAATTAATGGAGCTATTACCTTCAAAAAGTAATTAATTATATATAGATTGCACATATTTTCAAAAAGAAATATATGGAGGAGATAGGATATGTGGGTGAGGTCGGTCAACCTTTGAGGAGGTAAAGTTTAATTAAATGCTCCTATATTCTAAACCTTCATGAATTATTAATTATTTCATCTGAAATAAACCAACATCTATAGCTTATTTTTATCTTTGAATGTAATTACAAAACACAATGGGCGGTTTCTTGCAATTGTATAGACTATAATCTTAGGGCTAATTTTTTTGTAATTAATCATGCATTAAACGTTTCAATTCAAAACTCGGCCCCGTTACAGAACCATTCCGTCCAGATTTGTAACCGTTAGATCATCATATAACCGTCCTCGATATTTGATTTAACGGTTACAAATCCCGACGTAATGGTTCCGTAACGGAATCATAGAATCTCCCCTATATTATATTTGTCACTTGTATGTAGGCATTGGGACAACTGTATAGACTTTTTTTTTTTTTTTTCTTACTGCACATTAGGCCTAGTTTATATCCAATTTTTGTTTTTGCATCAGTGGATGTAGAACATATTTATAGTTAACTATGATAACTGACAAATTTACCTTTTGTTTTGGGCTACTTACTCCATATTTGGAAACTATATCATGTGAACGTACTGAAAAGCGTGGCCACAAGTTGAGGAAGAAATGGGATGCATTTGAATTAGAGAAAGAGTTTAAAGGTGCAAGAAGGAATCTAAGAAGAAGTGTCTAAAGGTGCTAGTGCAAAGTTTGAGAGGTGCGAGTTTTGGATGTTGGATATTCAAAGGACGAGAGGTGCACAGCACACTGAGGAGGATGATCATTTGACTAACTCCTGGAACCACCGAGAAGTGATTGGGCAAAGATATATATTGATAAAGAAGAAGATAAAGATGGAGAGCGAGGTGTTCAGGGGCGGACGCAGACTCGTAAGACTGAGGGGGCACAAATGTAATTTTACAAAGTGTAAAAAAAAATAATATTTATTCTCTGCATATTCTTTCAGGTTATATCACTCATAATTATTTTTTTTTTTTTTTCCAACGACATAAAATGCTCATATAATAAACCATAAAATGGAACTGTACAATAGGGATAACCCTGCCGAATAGTTCAGAGAGGCAAAGCACAACTGCCGCCTAATCGAAACAAAGAAAACAGATTCACCTACAGCCAAAACAAACCCAAACAGCAAGAACAATCAGTAACAACAGCAAACAGAAAATTCTACCACCTAGACCTTGGATAAAACCACTGCAAGAGCCTAGCTCATCCTCAGTCCCATCCTCGCACTATCTGGTACAAGAAATGGCATAATCCATCCAATTTCTCCAAGCTGCTTTAACTATCCACACCTCAGGTTGCTGGACTCCTTAAAAAACCCAGATATTTCTTGCTTTCCAGAGCCACCATAATATGTAGGTGGATAGTTGGATTCTCTCTTCAGATATTGCTGTAAAGTTCATAGAACTAATCCACCACCACCACTGCTTGAAACTCAGCTGCTCTTGGGTGATTCTGTTCCATTGCATAGGGGCAAGCTTCCAAACCTTAATAGCTCTGTCACAATGAAATAAAACATGCTCCAGGGTTTCTGGATATTCCCCACACACTTTACACAACTCATCCAAAAGAAGACCCCTCTTAATAAGGTTAACATTTATAGGCAATATGTTAGAGAAACACTGCCATATAAAGTGTTTAACCTTACTAAACACCTTGAGGTTCCAGCACCTCAATCTGGCTTTTTTGTTATCCACAGCTAAAAAACTGCTCTCAGCCACCTCAGTACTGCCCACATTTTCCACAGCTAGAATATTATAAGTTCTTTTGACAGAGAACTTCCCTTTATCAAGAAAAGGGCACACCCACTGGTCAGCAATGTTAGGATTTAGAGATTTGATTTGCAAAATCATTTTAGCATCAGCTTCTGAAAACAAAGCATAGACAAGATTTTCATCCCATCTACAACCACCCGCAATCAACATATCCTTCACACAGAAATCACTCATAATTATATATATTCAAATCTCATTAAATATATTCTTTTTTCAAATACCAACATTTTTTGTTTTGCATTGAATATTCTTACAACGTCAGCATTCGTGGACTTTATTTATAATAAAGATAAAGACTTTATTAGTTAAAAAATCAATGACAAACACAATTCTGTAACTAATTTTTAAACTTATAATTATAATTTTAAGAACACCTAAAATTCAATATGTATCAGAATCAATGTTGACTTTTGTGGAAAATCGACGTAACTCATTTATATATGTTCCCTACAACATAATAAAAATACAAAATACAAACAACTTAAATTTTAAGAACATCTCTCAATAATTATTTTACAATATAATTATATATGTACTAATTTTTTAAAAAACTTGCACAGGGGTCCGTGCCCCTACGGGCCCCTGCCTGGGTCCGCCACGGGAGGTGTTCATCATGCCAAATTCATTTATTCTTGACCTCACGATTTCGTCAAGCTCATGGCGTTAAACTAAGCACTTCGTTGGATGCAACCCACATTTATTTTTTTCGTTGATTTTCTTTGGTTTTTATATTTGAAAAAACAAAAGAGAGAAGAAGCTCGTGCCAACCTATTCGACAATACCGAATTGTTAGAGTCGAGCAGAAAAAAGGGGTAAGAAATGTGTCAAGCGTCGAAGAACGCATTAAAGAACCCAAGTTTCGCGGGGAGAGCCATTTTCGCAGTGCACAAGTATTAGTTAGTAGGTCCTCCGACTTACATGCCATTAGGTCTCTAGCCTATTATAACACGATTCTCTTAGGTACATGCATCATGAATATGTCCTCCAACTTACATGCCCTTAGGTCCCTTAAACACATTACTCGTATGTCACCAGTCTTTAGTCTACAGGTCTCTTAATTATAATCATTACCGGTAGGTCCTACGACCTTCTTGCCCTCAGGTCTAGGGGTGAGCATGGGTCGGTACGGTTCGGAGATTGATATATTTCCGGAACCGTACAAAAGTTCAGAGATCCCAAAATTCGATCTCCAGAACCATACCAAAAAGTCCGTTCGGTTCGGTTCGGTATTCGATTCACTATTCGGGACTATTGGGACGGTACGGTTCGGTATGGTTTGGTTCGGATCTTCGGAGATTTCTTATTTTTTAGATTTTTTTTATAATGACTACCTAGTTATATTTTAATTTTTATATGCTTTAAAAAAACAACATTCATCAATAATTCATCATATTGAAGATTTTATTTTGAAATTAATTTTAGAAGTAACTCTAAATTTTAGTTATTTAATTTTTATATGCTTTAATAAAACCAACATTCATCAATACTCCTCATATTAAAAATTTATTTTGAAATCAACTTTAGAAGTAACTCTAAATTTTAGTTAAGACTAAATTTGTGCAACTATTTAAAATTCAAATAAATTATAATATTTTTTTTTCTATAAAAGTATTCTTTAATCTTTCATGTTATTTTAAATAATTATTTTATAATAGAAAATATTCAGTTGTAAATCAAGTATTATTAAACTTGAAAGTTAAGTGAAGGTTAATAGTTATTATTACTATATTATAAAGGTTCAAAGGTGACATAAAATATATTAATAACACATCTAATGTTATAATTCGGTTCTTAATTTCAATTCTTCGGTTCGATACGGTATGGGACGGTTCGGTTCGGTTCTCAGTACGAATATTTGTGAAATCTCTAGAACCGTACCAATTATTTTTTCGGTTCGGTTCGGAAAAAGTCAAACGGTCAACGGTTATTTTTCGGTTCGGAGTGATATCGGTTCGGTTCTCGGAACGGTTCAAAATTCTCCGAGTCCCATGCTCAGCCCTACTCAGGTCCCTTATAATGTGTACAAATTATTCTTTTTACCGAGTACCGAATCGAAAGATTCATTTCCCGCGTCGATCTCACGAGGAAGGCGGTTCGGAATTTAGAAATGGTATCGATCACACACAAAAGAAAATAAAATCCTAAACATTCTAATCAGATAGCGGGTTTGATAAATTATCAGCTAAGAAATAATGAAAAGCAATAATCTACCTAAAAATATAAACGAAATAATGATGGAGAAGCTAGGGAGTCGGGGTAATCAATTCAAGTTCTATTTGCAAGTCGGGACATAAATCATTCTATTCTAGATGGACACTCTCGTTTAGACATCTAGTGGTTCGCTCCCAATAACTCTTCGTAACAAAGGATTGAACATAGACAAACAAACTCGAGTATACGACACAGGCCAACTATCCCATCCCAATAACTTTTCGTAACAAGGGACATGTCATCGACAAACGCGTATTTCAACCCAAAACCTATAAACTATTCAGTTACGAAATCGTCTATCTCATGCGAGCCTAAGTCTACGACTTCTCCCCTTTCGGTTCTAAAAGACGCTAATTAAACTAGAAGATGTTCAATCAACTAATCATAGAAAAAATCAACAAAACCAAACTCGACAACTCAATATCCAATTGTTATCAATTACAAGATCGAAGTGTCACCCTTCGATTATATCAAACTATCAAGTTCAATTTCATCAATTCTGAATTAAATCAACTCACATAAGAACGAACAATTCAAGCCCGACAAAATACAATTCAAACAAGAACAATCATCCCCTATCCCTAGCAAATAGAATTATCTACGAAAATCAAATTCAACACAATCAATCATCTCTTTCAATTTAACCATTATTCATGAATTAAAATTAAGAGAAAAACTTACAATAAATCGTAATTCCAAG